TATGGAGATCTATGGAGTGAACCAGGATCTCCATTCCCATCCTTCACTTCAGGAAGTACTTGAGGCAGGAATGATGATGAGTTAAGGTCATCCCCAGACTCTTACAGTCTGCTGGGGGAAAACCCACCGTCAGCTCTGACATGTGATGACATAAGACTTTTGTGGGTGGAAAAAGTAGATGCATAGGCCATTCAGAAGGGCACAAAGAACTCATGTATCAGAAGCCTGAGGTGGCTGGAGTTGAGGATGGGAAGGTCCTGGAGGTGGCTGAGACAAAGCTTTCTCCCCCTGCCTCTGTGGCCGTTTCTGAGTAGTTCATGGGGACAGGCATGGAAAGTCTAGTTCACCCTCACAAGAAGCCTGTGGTGTCTCCATTTGACAGGTGAGGAGACTGAGCTCAGAATAGCTTCCTTCATTTGTTTCATCTGTCAGGGTATACTTTGTGCCTTGGCCAGGTCTCTTCATGTCACCCCCAGACTGATCCCTTTTCACCCTCTCCACATTATCATACCTGTACTGGGTCTTGAACTCAGGGTCTGGGCACTATCCCTTAGCTTTTCCACTCAAGGCTCTAACCACTTGAGCCACAGTTCCATTTGTGGCTTTTTGGTAGTTAATTGGAGATGAGTCTCACGGACTTGTCCAGCCTGGCTTCAAATTGTGATCCTTAGAGCTCAGCCTCATGAGTAACACTCAGCCTCTCCTTACCTTTTATCACTGCAAACTCTCAGCCTTCCAGACCCTGATTTTCTTAACAGTGCCTGTCGAAGCCATCTATTATGTGACTCTGTTGCATGCTTGCTTCAGGCTGGCTAGACCTCAAGCCCCAAAGTGTATGCAGAGCTCCTTGGCCCAGACTGGGTGCCAAGTGGAGACAGTAGCTGTCTATCCCCATCCCCAACCCATCCTAACCAGGCAGCACTGCACCAGGCACAAGTCACTCTCAGTAACCAATCTCATTTGATTCCTTGCATACAACCTTGTGTTAGGCTTATTCTTCTCATTGTATGGGAAAAGAAACTGAGCCCCCAGGAGGGTCCATGACTTCCTCTGCATTTCATGACCACAGAGCAGTAGATGAAGGCTGAGATTTTGCTCTTGTTCTGTTTAGACTCAGGTCAGACTAAGCCTGGAGAAACAAAGGGCCCTAAGTAGACAGTATGTGCCTTCAAGTCATTCAGTGTCCTGCCCATGTTTTCTGTTCTCTGGGATGACCTAGCCCTTTACAGGGTAAGTGATGATTAAAGGAGAGGCCAGAAGAGAAAGGGCACTTAGTGGGTCCTTCTTGGTTTTGCATCACCACTAATCCTGACCCAGCACTTCTAATAGCAATGTGGCGTGAAGAGTTAGGCAAGCATGGATCGACGAGTTCAAGAGGATTACTTAGTAATCTGCTAAACCACTTAAGCTGCCTGGGAAAAGGCTACCCCATCCTGCCCATTAATTTATTCCACAAATGACTGTGAGCACTTAGCTGAGCTGGAAAGATGACGGGGATGCCAGTGCTCAGTTATTGAGAATATGCCATGGCCCATTAGCACAAGGTTGAAATACCTGGATCATCCTTACTTCTGGTTCTTTAACAGGGAAGGTGGTAGTGTGGGACAAAGGTGAGGCAAATGTGACACCTGGAACACTTAATATGACTCTGAGGACATTGCTTCACCCTAGGCCCCACCCCTAGGAATTATGGGAAATTGTGCTGTGCTACCCAGAGCCTCCTTTCATACATTTGTTACTCTAGCTGCTGGAGGTGCTATTGGCAACAGCCTTCCCCTGGCAGCTCCTCTAAGACAGGGCTGAGCTGGGGAGGGCAGCTCTTCTTATGCTCATGCCACTTCCCTGGACAGCCCTTAATTGATGATCGACAGGCGGGGGAGCATGAAAAATTATACATTAACTCTGAAGGGCCCAACTACCTTCCATGCTCCCTGTGAGGCTGGTCTGGCCCCAGCCCTTGCTTCTTTGGCTTCCTCCCCTCCTTCTGGAGTGCAGATAGTGTTGGCACTCCCAAAAAATCTCTACAAGCTGAACTCCATGTCAGTTTGCTTCCTGCAGAATCAAATCTGCAACAGTGTTACTCCTGAAGAGGCCTCTTACCAACTGGTTAAAATGCAGCCTTCTTAAAGACTCTAAGACAAAAGTGTTCCCAAAAGCCAGGAGTCAGAGATAATAGCACTAGCTACAAATCCCACTATTCTAGACTATACCTCTATTAGCTCACTTAATCTCTGTAGCAACTCTGTGGTGGTGATACTACTACATCCAGTTTTACAACTAGGTTCCAAGATGTTCTACTTTTCTTTAGAGAAAAACAAGGGCTTGAACATAAAGTTTAGCCAACCGATAATTCAAAAGACTGGCAGTCTGTGGAAACTTGCATATGAATGAGAACAAAAAGAAAGCTAAAGTATGTCTTATCTGTCATAATTCAGATCCTGATTGATATTACTTATTTTTGGGCCGACTTGGGGTTTGAACTCAGAGCCTTGTGTTCTTGCTTGGCTTTCTTGCTCAAGACTGGTGTTCTACCACTTAAACTTCCATTTTCAGCTTTTTGCTGGTTAGTTAAGAGATTGAAGAGTCTTACAGATTTGCAGGCTGCCTTTGAATCACCATCCTTACATCTCAGTCTCCTGAGTAGCAAGGATTACAGGTGTGAGCCACTGGCACCCAGGCTAGTTCCTGACCTTTAAAGACTGACTCTTCTCTGGATCCTATGTTGAAAATGAACTATATAACTTGTGGGTGGGGATGGGAGGGAAAACCTGGGAGAGAGTGAGGGAAGGGGTGACATTGTCCAAAAAGAAATGTACTCTTTACCTAATTTACGTAACTGTAACCCCTCTGGACATCACCTTTATAGCAACAATAAATTCTTTTTTAAAGAGAAAATAGCAATAAATAAGACAAGGCATTAAGAGTAATATATGCTGAATGTGATACCAGAACAAAATCTAAATAAGATGTGTGTGTTAATGATGATGGTGATAATAATAAACAACAACAACAATAATAGTACAACAACAATGATAGACTGGCAGTTGACACCAAAGACCCATGAAGGACAGTGAAATCCATAGGATTAAGGGATAGCAGGTAGGTAGGCATGGGGAACAGGTGAGAAACACCTGTTGGACTCAGGAACTGGTGTGCTGCCTGAGGAACCAAGACTCAGGGGGGTAACAGAGCTTGTTTGAGGCCAGGCTCCTAAGAGAACTTCTGGGACAGGGTGCTGAGGCTGTGAGGCCATAAGCCCACTGCTTTCCCTCTGTGTCTTCTCTTCTAATGCAGCAAGTAGGGTCAGAATCCTCTAGTGTCAGGGATTTGAGGATCCCAGTGGTGAATTTCCCCAGGTGTTATGCTGCTCCAGCCTCAGCTGTCCACCTGTCAGCTGACAGCAGACTCTCCTCCAGGGATGGCAGCTGGACTTCCTCCTCAGGCTCTACTTTACCTCTGGGAAGGGGCAGGAGCTGGACTTGCATTGTAATTCCTTCCAAATGAGAAGAATTGGAGAGTTTATCAACTGCATATCAATTCTACCCCTGACTTGTCCCTCACTCATGATGAGACTTATTGCCTTATAAAGTAGTAGGACAGGAATATCATCCTCACTGTACAGGTAGGGAAACTGAGGTCAAGAAAGAGGGGAATCAGGCAATGTGAAAGCCCAGGGCCAAGCCTCCCTATCTTCATTCAGTCCTTTGTTTCTGTCTATGGCCTGGGTCTGGGTGAAGCTAGAGAGAATCCTCATTTGAGATCAGGCCCGCCCTTAACCAAAAGGCCCTCTTCCTTTGTCTCTATCCTGTCCTGGAGGCCTAAGGTCTCAGAGGAGCTCTTTATTCACTTGCCAAATACTTTCTCACACCCACTCCTTGCCCATCCTCCCGGCTTCAGAGCTGGTGCCCACAAAGTATGCTCTGGGAAAACTCACAGGTGGCTGAAGAGTCATGAGAACAAGTGACTTGGCACTAGAGCAGCGTTCAACATTCAGGGACAGAAAGTGTAGCCCTTGAGTTCCTCTCCAGTCTCTGGATTCCATCTCCTACAGACTTCCCTAATGCCTGGTCTTAGCATTGCCTGTAGGCTCCTCCTTGCCTTCAGTCTCTCCTCTACCTCCTTCCCAGGTCTTTCCAGAGTGAACCACAGTGGGCAGGCAGGAACTCACATTGGAGATCAGGACTGAAGCCAAATCCTGGAGTCCTGGGCCAGCCCCACATCTCTCACATGTGAAATGATGACTGTGTTGACCTCAACGTTGTACAGCTATCACCTTTCCACTCTGTAGATTCCCTGCACTGGGAGGCTTCCCTGCTGCTAGTGTCTTCTGCAAGCCCTAAAAACATATTCATCCCCTCACAACATCACATGTCACCGCCTCTCAAGAGCCTGAACTGATGCCCCATCCTAAGCGGCTGAAACTTCCTCCTTCTGGGCTTGGCAGCTTGGCTGTTCCACCTGGTTTCTGCATCTCCTCACTTCTTCCTAGTACCATGATAAATTATTTCCAGGCCTGTCACTCACCGACACCCACCCCAGACACCGATTCCACATGAGCATTTGCTAGCTTGGTATGAAGCCTGGGAAAAAACTTAATGCCACCTATTTCTAGTATACTCATTTCTATCATTTATTGAGGACTGCCTAGGAATCTGCATGGTGTCAAAGGCATCTCTAGAGGAGACTGGAAACAGCCTTGAAAGGCTGAAGGGATACTATTACTGGTAGTCCAGAACCAGGTCTTTCTGGGTCTGTCTTAATCCTCAAGTATAGCCTAGCCCATCCCTTACCCCCCGACCTGGGAGCTCCAGTGGGTTATGCTGCCCCCCGGTGGCAGCCTCTGCCTTACAGGTTGTGACAGATCACAGTTGCACAACTCAAGGTATTTTCAAAAGAAACGGTGGGACTTCTCATCCTGGCCTCATAGCCCACGAAGGTCTCCAACAGCCTCAGGACTGTGAAAGCTGAATACAGGTGGAAGGAAAAGGAAAACTCAAAACTGTAAAAGGATCCAGGTTTATTTCGGTTTGGGAGGCCAAATGGGGCATCGCTCCACTCGGCGGTGGTTAAGGGCTGTACAAGCTTTCCTCCCCCAGCGACAATGAGGGATCGGGGAATCGTTGCTCCGAGGACCCAGTCCCGGTCGTGAGCTGCACGAGGAGTCGGGAAATCAGGCAGAAGTCTGCCATGGCTCAGATTAGGGGGTGGGAAAGGGGTGAGGAAAGAGCCAGGACGCAGAGTCCAAGAACGCGGAGTCCGAAAGTGGTCTAGTCCCCTTCACCTTCCCGCTGGGGCACGGGTGGGAGAAAATGCAAGAGCGTCCTCGGGGCGGGGAGGCAGGGTCTGGAGGCAAGCCAGGCGTCTCAGCCCGGCGCCGGGCTCCGCGGGCAAACCCGCCGTGTCCGCCCTCCCGGAGGGCGCGTGCGGGCCGGGCGGCTGGGGGCAGAGTCCGGCGGGCAGCCAGGCCCACGTCTCCTCTCGGGCGCGGTCAGCAGCTCACGGAGCCGGCGGGCGGCGCCGACCCCAAGTCCGAGAAGCAATCGAACTCGCTCTGGCCCAGGAAGAGCTCGGGCAGCTCGAGCACGCGGTGCAGCCCGAGCTCCAGCTCCAGCGACGTCAGCGCCTCCTCGTCGATGAGTTCGGCGTCCATGCCTCCCAGAGCCTGCGCGGGCGGCGGCGGG